GTTTTGGCTTTGATGCGATCAGCACCTCCATCCCGCCGCCCACACACCGGGAGCTGGGCGTGAGCATGACTGCATGAGTTCGTCCGTCTCCGGTGCATGAGGAAAAGGAAGCCCTCCCTGCTGTCGCTCCCCTACCCACTGTTTTCGGTGGCTCCTTCGCATACACACGCACGCACTTCGGCGCCTACCTTCCCTTTGCCGCCTACCCCCACCCTCATTTTTTTGCTTGCCACGTGGCGGGAAGCGCTCTCTCTCTCTCTCTCTTTCTCTCTCTCTCTCTCTCTCTCTCTCTCTCTCTCTCTCTCTCTCTAACGAAAACCTCCCCTTGTTTATTGGTGTGCTGCTTGAGCCCCCCAACCCAACCCACATCTCGGAAAAATTCCTTATAAATGCGTATCTGGTAACACCGACAGAAGTCTGATTCTTCACAGCGAAACGTAAACCGCAAGAGAGCATAGTATCACACGGCAACCAGCCAGCGCATTACTGCCCATGTTGGCAAAATAAAATAAATATTGCCCGAAATATGTGCTCCGTCCCCGACACCCCCTGTAGGGATTCAGGGGGGAAACGGCCGTTTTTCGTTCAGCCACCCCCTTGAGCCCCGCCCCCCCTTGCGCATCGGTACAATACTGGTAGGAAAGAACGAAGGAACGATTGGCCATCATCGGTGATCGATTCTGTGGGAACAATGCTCCGCCCTCTCGGGGTCACGTGTGGTAAATGATCCAACCGCTAAGGCATGCAAAAAACACACGAGTACCCCCCCCCCCTCCCTGGCGAATCGCTTTTTGCGTATGGTTGCCGGGGCAGGACCTTGTTGACGGCAACCTGGACAGGATGCGAGAGCAGGAGGAGGAGTTGGGCCGACTGCGCCAGGCGTTGTCGAAGAAGGGGAAGGGGGCCGGCGACGGGGCCGGGGGGTCGGGGCGCAACCCGGCCGACACCCGAAAGATTAAGGTAACTTTTGTTTGCGTGCCATGTACTGCTGTCTCGGCCCTTGTTTTACCTTGCTGCTTACCACACACGTTGGGCCCTGATGCGGGCCGAAATCCGTGGTCGTACGTAGGAAGTCGATTGGCTTTACTTGTAGTATTTTTTTGTCGTCAGGTTCTATCAGTACTGCTGTGGCTGGTTTGGCTATGTCACTGCAGTTCTTTGTGTTGGAGAAATTTCGAAACTTCGAATCAGCCCTCGCGTATTTTCCTGTTTTTCTTCTCTTCCACGCACCCATTACACAACATTTACAACGGTGTGTTTTGGGTGTGTTTGGCTATATATATATGGCTGGCTCGCTGCTGTCTTTGTGTTGAAGAAATTTCGACCAGCCCTCAAGTGTCTCTTTTTCTCTCTCTCGTCCAGGCACCCATGGCAAAGTATATGCCCGGCATCCTTCACGCATACAGACTCCACCTGAGGGCCCCCCCACCGTGTCATTAAATGGAGTGTGTGTGTTTTGGCCTCCTTCTTCCTTTTCGTTCCACCCCGCCGTCTATCGGTGTTTAGGATCTCGAGGCTCAGCTGGCCGAGCTGGCAGAGGCCCTCCGCAGGCGCCACCCGGACAGCCTGGCCAGCCTCATCCGGGCGGCGCGGCCGACGGACTCGCAAGAGCTGCGTAACGACGGTGAGGCTGAGGTTGTCGTCTTGTCCTCGTGGAGTCTCCCCCCCTTGCCCCCTGCGCTGCTGCGTTTTCTTTTTC